TTATTGGCTATTCATTTGTTTTCTCAGCCACCTCTTGGAAAAATTATAAAAAGGATCTCCGAACCTTAGTTTGTCACCTTTATTCCAAAATATTTTTTAATTTGGTACGTATCAGTTTTATTAACATTTGAAAGATTTGAAAGGAAAATATTTAAAAAATGTTTATTCAATCATTTTTAGGAATTTTATAATAATGTCATTTAGAGCTAGACCAAAGGTATTACGTAGAGAAATGCAAAGGCGACGACTTATTTCATCACTTACCATTAATTCCTTTACTTCAAACCTTGCCCCAACCTCGACAGCTGTATCCTCTTTTATTCCCTCTTCTTCTACAGCTGTCACTTCTTCTGCTTCTACAGCTGTAACTATAATTCCTCCCCCTCCCATTATTTCAGTTCCTCCCCCTCCCCTTGTTACAGTCCCTCTCCCTCCACTTGTTACTGTCCCTCCACCACCTCCTGTTACAGCTGTGACTTCTTTTTCTAGGTGGCCAGAGCCTATGGATCTCGATCCACCGGGCATTTTTGTAGAAACCCCTTACATTCCTCCCCCTAGTCGATGGCCGGAGCCAATGGATCTTGATCCTCCTGGCATTTACGTTGCCATCGATTATGGATTTTACCCCTTTCCCCTTCGTTTTTAGCTGGCCACCTCTCCTTCTTTTTCGTCGTCTTTGAAATTCTCAAATAAAAAAAAAAAATAAAATTATAAATAAAAAAAAAAAATTTAAAAAATAAAAAAAAAAAAAAAAAAATACTTCCCCCTTTGAAAAATTTCACTAGGGTGCTTATCTTTTGATAAGCATGACTACGATACTTGATGTATCGTATCTTTTATATGAAGTTGGCTGCTTTTGTCGTTCCTTTTTGCATTTAAAATAATCCCTAATTGGCCACTTCATCCACATTTTGTAGTTTAGAATTATTTTTTTGTTTTTTTTTTTTTTTTTAATTCTGTTTTATGTATTTTGATGATGTCTTGAGGTGAAATTTTTTTAAACCTATTTTTATGACCCTATTATATTCGTATGCACTTTCTGTTTTTTATTTCACCTCAAATATTTTAATTAACCTGAACGAAGCTTGCCACCTCTACGCGGTGTCCAGGAGAAACAGTTATAAGTCCATTTATATCTGGCTAAGCGCAAGCATTTATTGATTATATTCATGTAAAATTAAATTGATAAATTATACAATTTTTTTTTTAATAAAGAATTATAGCATAAACTAATAAAAAATAAGGACTGACTGCACTTGATATTTTACAATAAATTTGTCATTATAAAAATGGTTATATATATTTGGTAACAAAATTTTATAATATATTTTGAACTGAAATTATACGCGCCTCAAGTTCGAATTCTTTTAAGTTGATTGATAAGTAAAATTTTGTGTTAGATATTGTGTTCTTATGTTCGATCTGCAAAATGATATAAACAGCAATGAGACGTGCACAATGTAGTACAACATTAAATTATATAAATTGTACTAATTTTTTTTTTTTTTTCAAAAAATTATAACAATGTCAAAAGGTAGCGATATATAAGATGTAACATATCATATTGATTGGTTAGAGAAATCGATTGCCGAAGAACATATTAAATATTATAAATTCTCGGATTTCCAAATGAAAGTTACATAGGGAAGGGTTCATATGGAAAGGTTTGTCGAATTAGTTGGAAAAAGAAACAAATTTTCGCCATCTTTTAACAATTCACAAGTCATCATCAATGAAATTGTGGAAGAGGTATAACAATCAGTAGTTATGTAAGTGAAAAGAAAAGTTTAAATTATTAAATACTTGCTTTATTTATTTAACACAGTTGAAACTGCATCGGAATGTTAATTATCATGAAAATATAATATGGTTATATGGTATCACGATGGCAAAACCCAGTGAGTATTTTATTGAATCTTTAATATTTTTTTACTTTTAATTTATAAATGCTTTTTGTACAGATGGATACTCTTTGGTCTTAGAATACGCTGATAGCGGTACATTGAACGATTATTTAAATAAACATTTCAGTGAACTTAATTGGGATGACAAATGCCAGTTGGCAGCTCAACTTTCAAATGCTGTAGAATTTTTACATGAAGCAAATATTATCCATCGTGATCTGGTAATAATAATTTTTCTAATTCTGTCTTGCTAAAGTTATTGATGATTAATATTATTAATTCAAAATTATACAAAAGTATGACGGCAATATACTATTACATCAGCAATAAGTTAAATTAGCAGACTTTGGTTTATCAAGAAAAATTACAGAAACGTCAAGTAATTCATCAAAAATATTTGGTATCATACCTTATGTGGACTCAAAACGTTTAAAGGATAGTTATTACAAATCAAATAAAATGTCTGATATCTATAGTATTATTGGAGTACTTTTATGGCAAATTTCAAGTGGATATAAACCATTTTATGGCTTAGATTATGATGTGAGTTTATCCTTAAATATTATAGGTAGAAAAGGAGAGAAAATAATTGACGACACACCACATGAATTCTTTATCCTATATCAAAGTAAGTAATGATAATATAATTTTATATAATTATTTTCTTTCGTTACTAATTTACTTATATTATAATGTTGGAAAAATGAACCAAATGAACGTCCAAACATTCAGGAAGTTGTTTCATCTCTTGAAGCAATAATTCATCTCAAACAATATAACACATGTATTGACAATATTAATGACAATGAATGTTATAGTAATGAATCTAAATTAAGCAAAAGAACTTCAAATTATGATAATATTCATAAATTAGATATTACTAATTTTAAACAAGAATATTTCTAGTCGGGTGATGGTAATATAACTGATGTAAAGAGAATTTCTTCAAAAGTAATCAATACTGATGATGATGACGTAGAACTTATTGAAACCAAATATTAATACGAAAGCGTCAATCCGCGGTGGAATAGATGTCACAACAATCATTTCATAACTATTTGCAAATTTTTTACCACTTATTACAGAAGTAACCAAGACTTTCAATGAAATCGTAGAGATATATATAACGGCTGAATATAATAAAAAAAAATGTGGGATTTTGTTGGATAGAGTCCAAGTTGTAGATAAAGCCGTAAGAAATTTAAAAAACCGCAGAGATAAAAATGAATTATTTTTTTAAGCAAGAAATTTTTATATTTTACAGAAGTTAGTTCATATCATTGATAAAATTCGTAAATTTGTTGAAGAAATTTCTCAGATTAAAGGATTACCAAAGTATATTCGTGCAAAAAGTATTGAAATACGTGTAAAAAAATTATTGAATGAATTTGATTCTACTATATACCTTCTGCAAATTCTTGGATGTTGACTTCAGCTTACGTGCTAACAAAGATGATCGGGACATTAAGTCTAATATCGAAGATTTATTCCAGGTAATGCATGATAAAATTAATTTTTTTTAATTCATGTAATCTTATTTATAAATCTCTTACTTAGTACCTTAAAGATATTGGCAGCGATATCACTGACACGAATTAAAATGTCTCGGAAAGGGTCGTACACTACAGTGAATCAAATAAGATATCAATCATCAACAGATCAATCAGATGTATTCCAAAGTGAGTTACTTGAATATAATGATTTTGAAGAAGTAGGCGATCCCATTAAATATCAAAAAGTAAGAGCATTTAAAAGAAATCATGGATTGAATGATTATGTCGCATTAAATTTGGCGGCTGATAGGGATAGCAGTGAACGTGATAAAAATAATATTAGAAATCAAGTCAAAATCTTAAAAAAATTGAGAGCATGGTTTAACTTCACATGAAGATAAATTATATTTGGTGACGGAATGGGCCGATTATGGCAATTTACGTGAATTTTATAAAAAGTATGGTCCATTAAAGTTAAAATGAAAGTATGTCTTGCTCTTGACATTGCTAGAGGCTTAAACTTATTGAGCGCTGTTTCGGTAATATATATTTTAATTTATTCATCCATCAAGAAAATTTCTTATCAAGAACTAACTTGAATTTACCTTTGGTGATAAAATTGTCTCGATAGATCGTTCATCGTGATATAAGAGCCGAAAATATTTTAATTATCCATCATGGAATTGCCAAAATTGCAAATTTTAAATCAAGTCGAGCAATTACTGATGGTACAGGCAATCAAGCTGCTACACTAAAAACTATACGATATTGCGCTCCGGAAAAGTTAGACGAAGGTTCGTCATATAATTATGATACCAAATGTAAAAATTATAGTTTTGGTATACTGCTTTGGGAAATTGCTGAAGAAAGAATTCCTTATGAGAAATTTGGTGATGTTATGATTATACAAGAGCATGTATGTCTCAAAAAATACCGAGAAAAGTTTTCTTCGTGGTCTCTTTTACCAAAAGAATATACAGAACTTGCGGTAAAATATATTTATTATTTAAATAATAAACCTTTTGCTCTTTATTTTTAAATATTAAGCTGTAAATTTACTATAATAGCTGTTAATCACGATCGTACATTTCGACCTCAATTTTCAAAAATCTTTACCACACTTCAAGAAATTTATAAAAAATGTTGTATGCCATCATCATTTCATATTGACCCTGCGTCAGATGATTCAGTTAATTTTACTTTATCAGAAGATTATGCAGATGAAACTATGATTATACCAAATTTTGCAGATTTTGATTACCTAACAATAGATGAAGCAGCGAAACAACATTTACTTCCTGATGGAAACCGCGAATCAACTTACAAATGTTTTGAAGCATATGCAAAATCAGGTGATGTGAGAGCAAAATATTATAAAGCATATTATATTCAACAAAAATTAGTTAGTCTTGATTTGGACCAATCAGAAAAAGATAAGATAATAGCAGAATTACATAAAGAAGCAGCGGATGAAGGAGATGAATTTCCTGAAGCCCAATTACGTTATGGTTGTTGTTTAATTAAAGGTGCAGGAGTCCAAAAGAATCTAAAAGAAACTGCTTTATATTTTACCAAAGCCGCCGAAAATGGACAAGTCATTGGTATGTTTAATGCCGCTACTTTATATTTCTCTGGTGGTGCTGGTAAAAAAGATGAAGCATTGGGAAAAAATATATTAGAGCAGCTGCTTATAAACAGCATAAGAAAGCTATTGAATATTGCAAGAAAAATGGTTTACCTTTGTAATACTTTTTTTTTATTATTTCAACGAAAATTACTTGTTTATTATTATTTCTGTTGAATTGGTGGATATCAATTAATTAATCATAATCATAAAGGGTATACCTAAAGGTATATTACTTAAGTGTATGGAATAAATTCTTTAAAAGTATTCTCGTAATGAAATACATTTTTCAACTTTGTTTCTTTTATAACATTAGATAATTAACGAAAATAATAATTATAAAATTAATTTCGAAGTTGCATTCAAACGTTTTATTCTAAATAAATAATATAATCAAGGGTAAGCAAAAAAAATATTATGGGAACTTAAAATTGGTTAATGCATAATTATTAAAAGGGATTTTAAAGTAGGAATCACAAAAATTAATCTTAACCAGTAAACATAAACGAAAAGCGAATTTCTTTAAATTAATCCAATATTCATCAAGACGGTCATTTGAAAGTTGACGAGGCATACTTCTATTTTCATTGAAAGGTGTGAAACTTTTAATCACACTCGGATTTTGTATTTTACAATCGCTTCTAAAATTATTGGTACCTGTAATAATGATTAGAGAAAGTTATCTCTGCAGTATATTAATAATCTAAGCTCCTCCAATTATAAATTTTTTATATAATAAACATTTAACTCGTGAAGATTTTAGGTGAACTATACTGTATAATAATTTGATTACCACAATATCAGAAATACTTTTCCACAGTTACCAAAGCTTGATTGATAAGTTGCTTTTTTAAATTGGTTAAGATCGGGTTACGAACATAGTAAATCATTTGATCTCTAACGTGATTTTAATAGCAAACCTCCCAATTGTTCAAGCGACGAATAAATTATAACGAAAACATAATCCCAACGCTCTCTTTTTTATGTCAATTAGAGAATAAGGTATAATGTTATTTAGTATCTCCCGAATTATTTTTTTTTGTTGTCTAAAAAACACTTGTAAGAATATTTGGATTTGTTTTTAAATTGAAAAAAAATGTGACAATATTTGGTGTTGTGAGCTCTAAAAAAAATTTTGAAATAAATAAGGAAATTGCTACAGTAATTTTATTAGAAAATGATTGTTAAATTGAATATAATTACTTTTCTCATGATTTTTCCAGAGATCTCTTTTTCTTTGATTCATACGTCCTTTACTTGCTTTCGTTATTCTAAATTTATTATTTTTTTCGTTGTAACTTTGTGCCTCGTTATTTTTCATGTTTTTTATTTCTCCGATTTTTATTTTAATTAAATTCGGAAGTGTAGAGCGCCGAAGTTGATTAATTATTTATATAATGTCTTTTACTTCATATAATTACATAATTTAATTAATAAAAACTTTCTGCTTACATTTAAATTTGTTTATGAATATAAACGTAAGAACTGAAAACTAGATCCAATATTGTTCGTCAATAGACAAATAAATATACAAATAAAACCTGATGATCAATCACTCAAAGCGAAGCTTTTTTATATTAATAAAGACTGTATATTATCGAGTATTAAAATGACTTCATCCAAACAAGAAACCTCAACGTCAAACAAGAGTTAAAAAACACTTAATACACTCATTGACAAAGATTCCACTTAAAACAATCTACCGAACCTTAAAAAAATTAGAGATTCTGAGATGTAAAGCAAAAAGATGATAATGACCGTATTAATAATAACACCATATGCATCTTGAAAAATCGAGCAATATATTTGAAGGCAGCTCTCACTTTCTGCTAGATCTGTTGCTGCTAGTTTAGAAGATATTGAAGTCAACAGTATCTAGACATATTGCTGATCTTGGATACTGAGTTGCATTTCTCTTTATATACTAATGCTTTATATACAAAATAGTGCGTGTTGAATGGGTCCAAAATCATAAGATCTCGATTGAAAAAAAACTCTATTTATTGATGAAACTGTTTTCCAAATATTCCGTGATACAATAAAGATTGGTATAAAATGCAAGATCAATTTGTTCAATTTCAAAGACACTTAATAAATATTTGCATGGGTGGTATTTACATGAAATATATAATAAGCTTGTTCCGTTTTAGGTGAATAATGAACGGAATATTTAATACAGAAATGTTTTTCCAAAGTGCGCAGCATATTAAAAGGTAGATGGCGGCTGCAGCAAGACAATGATCCTAAATATACTTATTCGCATAGTTAAGGATGCAATTTTATGATATACTTATGTCTATTTTTTAGTCTCTTTTTGGATATATTTTAATTTCAGTATGTATGAACTAATGATTACTAGCTAAATGAGTATTACCTTGAATCAGCTTCTAATTTCATAAATCTCAAGGAACAGTTATATAAGTAAAATGTATCATTTAGTATAATTTAGTATAGCAATCAAAAATAAAGGCTAAACTATCTATGTTGGCTAGCCACCATCACCATTACTCATATTATCAAATATTTAAATTCAGACAACAAAACATAATTTATAACCTAAGTACCATGATGGTTATAATATCAACTGTCTATAATCTATAATTTTTATTCAATCCAAGTTATACAGCATTATAATAAATATAATAAAACTCTGTACTAGAGATAATTTCTTGCAAAAATAAGACACATTACATACGCTATATACTTTTCATTAAGTAAAAGAAAGTTGTGCTTTGTTGTTTGGGGACGAATAATAAAAGCTTCAAGAGGAAAATAAATATGTTATCTATATGCGGGAAAATCAAGAAATCATAAATTATAGATGCATATTTTTTAATAACAATTCTATTTATTATGATTTATTAATACTTATTTCTCTTAGTAAAAAACTTAAAAAACAGCAATTTTTAAACATATATCTATTAAATTTTTCTTAATAAAAAGTATAAAGATTAGACTAAATATAGTTACCTGAAAAACTCTCGGGTTTCGACAGGGTTGTCAAAACTGTAATTATGTAATGTTTATGATGTTGTCTTAAAATTATACTCTTTTTCGTCATTTATATTAAATTCTTTAAAAGAATGGAAGAACCACCTTTTTAAAATCACGCAAAAAGGTAGCTTGTTTTTAATAATATAATTTAACAAATCTTTATTTTTAGGCGTATTATACTTTTGAAAACTTACTGGAAAGAACATCTTAACGAACTTATTAATATATTTATAGAAGACGAATTACTTTAATTATAAAAAAGCAACAATTTTATGCAAAAACTATATTTTAAGATATAGCAACTTTTTAATTGTAATACATCTATGATTATTTTTGATTATTATTATTTTTTATTTTTTATTCTTAATATTTTTTTTGAAAAAATATAGATGAAAGTACCACCGATAATACTGCAACTATAAAAAGATACCTTTTGTCAAACACTATTGATACCAAAATCAACCGCAAGGATTAAAAAACTAAGTTTTTTGGGATATAAAAGTTTTCGTTTTTTTATATTATTTTATTATATTTCTTAAATTTATTATAATTGTTATTTTTATTATATTGTTGTGAATGAAATTGATTTTCGTCTGAAGTTGGAATTCAGACGAACTTCGAGTGTCTGAAATTGAGATTCCAATTTCAGACACCCTTTTTGTTATTTGAATTCCAACTTCAGACAACTTATAAAAAATTATTTTAACTAATCACAATATTGCCAATTTTTTTTTTTTTTTACAATTTCGTAAATATAGTTATCTTTAAATTTTGCATTTCAGAATTTTAGCTTTTAGCCGAATTATAATTTTAATTTCGCGGCATTTATTTATTAAAATTTGTAGCATTAAATTTCCAATTTTATTTTATTTTATTTTATTTTTTTTTTTTAAGGATATTATTTATCGTTCACATTCGGGCTGCTGTTTAATTTAGGTTTTTCTTTTTTCTTTTTCGATTTTTATTTTTATTTATTTTTAATTTAACTTTTTTAATTTCGATTTTATTTTTATTTAGTTTTTTGGCAAATAAATAAGTTTTTTTTTTTAAATACATTTTTATTTTTTATTTTAGTTTTATTTTATTTCTATTTTATTTTCATGGTTTTTTCATGGAGGTTTTTCGACCGCGTCAGTTAAATAAGTGATTTTATTCATTTTCGTTTTCCTCTATAATTTCAGGTCTTTTTTTATTAAAACTTCAAACCGAAGTGTTTCAACCAGAAATAATCATTCAATTAGAAGGACATGTTAAAAATATTCACTTTTTTATTCTTTATAATTCTTTTAAAACAGCAAATAGCAAATAGAAAAGAACTCCTACCTTTAAGAGTTACCTGTATAATGATCCTATTTTGAAGCTAAGAGGCGAATTTTAAAATAAAAATTACATTTTAATTATAGAGAAAAGGATCGTTAATTTTTTTTATTACAATAGAGTAGTAAAGAAAAATAAATAAAAAGAAACAGTTAAAAATTCATAAAATTTTTTTAATTAAAATAAATTTTTTATGTACAGTAAATGTAAATCATATTACTTTAATTTAATTTATAAATGTATAATTAGTATAAAGTTCAGATTTGTCTAAAGTTCAATTTCAGATACCTCGTGTCTATAATTCAGATTTTATCTGAAGTTCAATTTCCGATATCCTAATTTCAGACGGCCTTGTATCTGAAATTAGAATTAAATAGTTACACAAAAATTGACCAATATGATTATGACTGAAATTGGAATTCAGATAACAAAAAAGGGTGTCTGAAATTAGAATTCCAATTTCAGTTTCAGTCACAACAGCGCCATAAATAAAATCAATTAGAATAGAGAAACGATCGATTTTACTTTTTTGAATCGATTGCATAAGAAACACTTTTTACGGTTGCTTTTGTTGTAATTGCCGCTTCATTATAAAACAGCATCCTCTTTTACCTCGCGGTGATTTACGACATCTTACCTTTTATAGCATGTTTTGTATATAATATCTCCCTATGGGTAGATATTTCTTCCGCTAACTAGAGATGGATCTATCAAACATTTTTTCTTCTTTGAAGCACTGATCTGGTGCAATTTGGTGTTGTTGGTGTTGTCATTTACGAGCTATTTTCTGCATCAAAAAAAAATAGTTTGCTAACTTCTCAAATTCTTTTATATATTTTTTTTTTTTAAGAAAGTATTACGTGCCAAAATATTTATAATTTGATGTCTTATCACGTCATAGATGTACAGCACACTAAAAAAAATATACAGCAGCTCTACTGT